TCTCCCCACGTTCTCGAGTAACTTACCCGGAAGGAACTTTTCACGGGCCTGCACGCAGGTACCACGCTTACCCGCGAGCAGGGTTTGAACTCGTTAATACCCACTTAGACAGGGAACACCCCCTAAGATTTCAGCTCTCTAGCAGCGGACAGGGTTTGAACTCGTTAATACCCACTTAGACAGGGAACACCCTCTAAGATTTCAGCTCTGTAGCTTCTGAGAACCTCGAGTTATATATCTACGCGGTAAAAATTTTGGGGGGCTCTACGCGAGCACCACGCTTACCCGGAGGCTGGATTTGAGCTCATTAGCACCTGACTGGACGAGGAACACTCCCCTAAAATTTCAGCTTTCTAGAAACTCAGAAACCCGAGTTATGAATTTACGCGGCAGAAATTTTGGGGAGCTCGTACGGGGTACCACGCTTGCCCGACGGCTGGATTTGAGCTCATTAGTACCTACTTGGGCGGGGAACATCCTTCTAATATTTCAGCTTCCTAGCACCTCTGAACACCGAGTTATGAATTTACGCGGGAAGAATTTTGGGGGGCTCGTACGCTGGCACCACGCTTACCCGGGGGCTGGATTTGAGCTCATTAGCACCTTCTCGGACGGGGACATTCCCCTAAAATTTCAGCTTTCTAGCTTTTCTGTTTCGCGAGTTATCAGCTTCCCCGCAAAAAACTTTGGCGGGGTCTTACGGGGGTACCGCGCGGGAAAGACCGCCCACTTTGGGGATAGGGGCCCGTACGTGCATGTAGATTAAGTCCCCAAAGTTTCTCGTAGCTTTTGCCGGTCTCGAGATGAAAATTCGGTACAGAGGCCCAGCGCGCACACAAACACACACACACACACAGACAACCTCTCGTCAATATGCGTTTTTCGTATTGCGTTGCTGCAAAAAACGCATAAAAAGCCGTCAAGAATTTCAGGCTGGATGCCGCCATGAAATGGATGGCTGAATTTTTTGATGGATCGAAGACAATCATGAAAACCACTTTTCTTTTACGCGTTTGTGCAAATGCAGCGAGCAAAAACGCACGTTGTGACTACACCGGCCTGTGTGTGTCCCAGGGTATTTCAACTCAGCAACCAAGCAAGCTCCGGTGCCAAAATTCTGCCAGCAGCTCCCCCAGCCAAGTGCCAATCTAGGACCAACCCTCAACCACGTCTGGGCTCTGCGTGTGACGAAATGAAAGTTTTGGCGGGAAAACCGCTGACTCGAGAAACAGAAAAGCTGGGGAGCTGAAATTTTGAGGGGATGTTCCCAGCCCACGTACAACTTAAAGATTCCAAACTCAGCGTGGTACTCAAATACGGCCCTATGACAGTTTTTGGCGGGAAGATCGCTGGCTTGGCAACCGGGGAAGCTGAAGGCTGGTATTTTGAGGTTATGTTCCCCCATCCACACTGAACTCAAAGACTTCGAATTCAGTTCCCACGTGCGCTTGGTTCCCAAACATGGCCCCGTGGGGATTTTTGGCGGGAAAACCGCAAACTCGGGAACCAGAAAAGCTAGAAGGCTGAAAATATGAGGGAATGTTCCCTGCTCTCGTATAACTTAAACATTTCAAATCCAGCCCTCAAGTGTGCGTGGTCCTCACGTACGTCCTTGCGGAAATCTTGACGGGAAAATTGCTTAGTCGGAACCGCGAAAGCTGTACTTTGAGGGGATGTTTCTTGACCAAGTACCACGCAGCTGCATAATTAACTTCCTAAATTTCGAGGGCCAGTATGCCACAAATTTTAACTATTGGACTCCAGGCGATTTTACTGCAACACGAAATACTACAAAAGCGCATAATCGCACGGGTGTCGCCGATGATTTTTTTTTTTCGAAAGCAGTGACGTAGGAGTGCGAGACGTGGGCAAATACTAAAGCTCGGCTCGGCTGCTACTGCAGCTTCTCTGCTAACGCTATTTCGCGGTGTCGCTTGCCGACGCTGCTTGGCGCTCCGCCAGAAATGCTGGGTAGCGCTACTCAGCGGACTAGGCTGGAACGCGTGGTTGGGCGCTGATGGGGGGAGACTAGATCGAGGGGTTGGAGTGGTTAGGAGGTGGTGGTGGATGGATGCCCAGGTGCAGCTCGGGGTAGGAAAGAAGAAAGGAACAAGGGCGCCGGTGAAGAGTTCGGAACGATTAATGGTGACAGTGGTTGGGTGGTGGTGGATAATGAGTGCCCAAATGCCGCTATGAAGGCAGGATTTGGGTGCAGGACAAAGAAGGGGAACAAAGGTAATTAGTCAGGGGTTCGAGGCAAGAACTGGGAGCAGTAGTAAGGACGAGGGGAAAACACAGCAATGCAAAGAAAACTAAATGAAAGAAAAACTGAACTTATGAAAGAAGGAAAACGGAAAAAAGTGAAATCAAAGCCTGTGAATAAAGGCTGAAGAAAGCAAAAGTAAATAAAAACTCAGAAAGTAGAAGCAAAAACAAATTAAAAACATAGCAAAAAGAAAAACTCATGAGTAGAAATTGTTTTACAAGGGTCCGCTTGCAGCAGTGTTTATGAAACTAATGCTTAGGTAAAGCCCAGAGCTCTCAATTTTATCTACGCAGCTTCGCCTAAACATCAGTTTTATAAATGGGAGAGTTCCCTACTGAAGAACGGTTTTCCTTTTGCTTTTACTCATAGATCCACACTTTTTTTTTCTTGATTTTGCTTTTGTTCCTGTGCCTAGGCTTGCCTTAATTTATTTTGCGTTTTTTGCATCCATGCAATTCGCATTTTTCATCTCAAGACCTATAAAAGCTGCAGGGCTGAAAATTTGGGAACTTAATCTACATGCACGTACGGGATCCAATCCCCAAAATGGATGCCATTACCCGCGTGGTACTCGCGTACGAGCCCGTCAAAGTTTTTTACGGGCAAGTTCATAACCCCGAGG